TTTACTTAAAGCCCATGGGATCACCAGCTAACTCATACTGACACACATTCCCACCAGCAAGGTTCTGCATTTACCCGAATCACCGGCAGTTGCCAAAGCAACTGTATTCAGGGTTTGTGTGTGTATAGAGGTTTGTATTTGTTAAAAGAAAATAATAAATCAAATTATATATTTCCTGATGAAATTTTTATGTGCCATTTGGTGCTTAGCAACTGAGCCTGAGCTAAAGGTTGTGTTGGCAAGTTTGTAGACCTTGCATCAGGTAAGAGGGTAGGATAAAAAGAGAAAAACTGTCTAAGTCTCCAGATCATTCATTATATGGCCAAGAAGGTTGTCCTGTTCATTTAAAAAAGATTAATGATTCATCATATAATATTAAAACATTCTCTCTGGCTCAGCATTTTTCTACAGAACACATTATTATAATGAAAAACTGTTTTAATCAAAGGTAAATAAAGTACAATAAAGTACAGATACATGGAGGGGTGTTGCTTTTATTTAGAAATTATAAGTGGGTTATATTTTTGTGGTAGTCGTTGTTCCATACTGATCTAAGCCCAGCCTTAGTGTCGAGGCATATACTGTATTGATCTGCTATGTGAGATCCGAGAGCTTTTATCTTATAGGGTATGTCAGGCTATGTTTTGAAAAGCGTGGCATGATTGTGTTTTAAGGTTAAATTGCATAAGTATTTAATTCCAAACCAATTTCCAATTATTGACAGCATAATAGTACACAGTGATTAGTGAAATATAAGGCTTTTACTTTGAACTTTCCTGTGGGATCTTATTTTAAAAGGCCACAGTAGTATGGAAAATGATTCAAAACATGTAGTCAGTCTTTCAGAACTGTTTGAGTTACTCATACAATGTTGTCTTCTTGTTCAAGCCTACTCTGTACACCCAGAACTAGAACCAAATATGCGTACTAATACTAATTCAGACAGCAAAGAGACTTTCAATGTAGACCACATTCTTACATATGATGGACAACAACCCTATAATTATGAGCCCATTGCCCAAGAGAGCAAAGAGACACTGGAGGGAAAATTACTGGCCAAAGAAGACAGGTTGAGTTGTGGTGTGAGAGCAATTGGTGAAGTCAAGGGCAGGTGTCATGTTAGAGATCACAGTTATATTGCGTGCTAACATTATAATATCATACTGACATTATTTGGGTTGCTGGTTAAAAAAGCAATTAGTAAATGTATTAAATTGTAATGATTTTATTTAAGTCATTGCTGGACTGTTGAAGTAATGTAATTTAAGACAGCCATTGTAGTGCCATACCTTGTCCTCAGAGTCAATTGTGCTATTTTTCAAAACATCAAAAGCATTCTAAAAGTTACTGTATTATAGTGATCTGTTTTTAGAACTTAAAAGAGATTGCTTCAAAGAACACCAGCTGCTGGTGGGGCAATATCCAGAGATTTTTGTGTGGGTGTGAGCTGCACCGCCAGAGACAATAGATCAGTTTTATTCCTTTTATTTAAGGTTTCTCCATAATTCATATTGATCCCATTCACAGTACCTAATAAGCCATTCACAAGCAAGTGCGTCCATCTGCTCCCATAAGATTTGCATGTAGAGTGGAACAGCAGTAGAATCTCAGTCCCTCTGAGGAAAAAATTTCATTCTTTTCTGCATCATTCTGTTGGTGAGGGATCTCAGTATGCAGCTGCAATCTGCATATGTCCACTATACCCAATAACTACCTACTCTCCTCAAAGGGCTGAAGCAACGCCGACTATTTGACTCATACATGTGACTTCAAATGTCATGACTTGTTTTTTCTTACAGAGGATGCTAAGAAATGTCACTTTTATTAGTAAATTTAATTTTATGGCACCCCAAAAAAATAAAAATTCTAAATAAACTTTTAGAAAAGATTTGGCTGAATTTTGCCATTGTTATTATCTGTATCTGATACAAAAAAAAAAAATAGTAAGGATAATGGCAAAAAAAAAAATAACAAACAAAAAAACAGCTACAACTCTGAATTCTGCATAAACCAACTGCGCTCTCTACTCTGAGTTTTGTTTTTGATTCCTCTCCTTTTCCAATTTATTCTAATGGGATTTTTGGGCTGCGTTCACAAGGATATTCTATGTTCCTTGATTTGCTATTGCAGGCCCCACTAATTTATTTCTAAAGTTTGACATTTTTTATAATTTTTTATCTCAGTTTGACTAAAAATGTGTACATGAAAAAAGTTTTAAAAAAAAGTTTTCTTGGTCTATTATAGCCTGCTTTGTAGCCTAGTAAACTAGCCCCACCCGCCAGCGGCCAAAATAATTTTTCCCTGCGAGTGGTCTAGCCTCGATCAATTCCCTGTGCCTAGAACTGGCGGGCCAATCACAACGCAGAGATGTGTTTTGAATTTTCGGATGCAAAGCAGGAGGGGTTTTGAGGGTGTGACGACAAAGCTGCGCGACACTGGTGAAAACACAGCAAGGAAGATGTCCACAACTATTGAAAAGTTCTCGCTTGACTCAGCTTTGGAATCAGTTTTAGAAGGATTAGACTTTGGGTTTTTGTTCAAACGTGCAGGAAAAGGCTCTACGCTTATTCATTTTTAAGGATGTGTTCTCCGTTTTACGGACAGGCTGTTTGTTTACACTTCCCCACCAGCTTCCTGTCTCGCTTACTACGTCACAGTCAGTTGCACCCATTGGTCAATGCGTTGGCCAATAGGCACTGACATGGTTTGAAAAACAACGGGTTGTTCTCATCAACAATCTTCCAATGTCTCATTCATTGGGGCAAGACTAAATTACACATTTAATCTCACATTTAGTCTGGTTTATCAGGCTACCTGCTTTCGAATAAAAAAAAACGCACAGAAAAACAGCCAGGATGATAGGAACTTTTGGAATTTTTCTTCGAAAAAATCTTTGACACTCTAATGTTTTACTGACAACCTAAGTCTTCACAAAAGTTGATGAAGCCAGCATTAAAAAATCCCCTTGCTACCCAGTTTTTAAACTTAATGGAATGGGGTAGTCCTTCCTTTTACGTGTTTTATCTAGATATAAATATCAGCATCAGTATTTACGGTTAACTACAGAACCAGGCGTTGTTTCCTTGAAGGAGTGTTAGTTCACCTGTACATCCTGTTAGATTGAAAACACAACAGACACAGTGATTTTACATGTTGATTGCATACTTGCAGCTAAATAAAAACCATTCTATCATTGAGGGGAAAAAAATTAGCAAAAATAGTCAGTAGTTAAGCTTTTTCACTCATCAGCTCAAAGCAACTAAACTGAACTAAGCTTCTCTCTTGAAGTTTATAACATTGCCATTGTGTAGTTACCTCCCTGCCTTTTCAGGAATCAATAAAGCAGCTTTCAAAGTAACTCAGGGACTAAGCCACAAAGAACCCAAACTGAAATGTTGATGATCTGCTATTAACAGGGGAATTTAATTATATTTATATAGTTAGTTTAGAGCTTTCAGGTTATGGTGTTAAATGGCCTTGTTTGGAATAGAAATAAATCAGCACCATAACAAATATTCTAGGATTATTAAATCGGCTTAGAGCATCTGATACTACCTGGGCTAAGTAAAACAATAGATATATACAGGGGAACAAGGTACAGTAAAACCAAAGACAGAGAGGAAGGACACTGTAACAGCTGTTCTTTCTTTGAACCACTTAGCTTTAAATTGAACTAAATTCAGGCCTGATGACTTCATGCTTGAGCACTTAGAGACTCAGAAGTTATTACATCATCAAATTGGAAATTGTCCCAGTGATTTCATCCTCTTGATGAAGGTTGATAAATGTGTGGAGGTTGTGTATTGCATTAAGGATTTCAGGGGCCCATGAGGTTTTGAGTAAAATTGAGTAGTTTAAAGAAAAAAAAATATTGTTTAAGCTTTTTTTTTCCTATTGTCAAGTAAAGTAGGTTTAATAAGTAATACCTATTTTTACTAACAGATCAAAACATAGTTTTATTGTTATCAATAACAATGAACCTTTATCTTGAGTGCAAATAGCCAATTTTTCATTTATTGGTGGTGGTGGGTATGACTGCTGGTCCCTAATATGGAGGAGAGTTGCCTGTCTAGAATGCATGTTCTTTCCCACATAATGTTGAGTCCTGTGTCATAAGAGAGTAACTAAAGTTTGAGGGTAAGGTGGTTGTTTATAACCTGGCAGTAGCCAGATTAATATGTGTAGAACTGAGTTGAGTTCTGCGTTATCAATCTGTGATGGCTGCCGTTCAGTCTGTCCGTGAAAGGTAGGGAAGTTTAGTACAATACATCGAGTTGTTTGGGTGGTGTGTCAGCTAGTACTCGCCTTCCATATTACGCTTTCAGCCAATCGTAGTGTGTGAAACGTTGTAAGCTGAAAAAGCAATTGTTGGAATCTTTCCCATTTACAAATGCAAGAAGCGCTTCTCTTTGCTCCTTCTTTAAAGGAGAAATTGTCACTATTTTAGCCAAAACTGAGTCTATTGCGGTATTGAGGGGTAAGTCCTCCAACAAAGCCATGTTTGTAATGCCCCAGCAAGGCCCTTCTGACTGTTGTCATTCATATGACAATGCCCTAGCCCTAAAAAACACTGCTGGCATGTCATTAGTCCGACCCGCTGGTGGTTCGGAGACGGACGTGTTAGCAGGAGTCTTTCAAGATGGATTTGTTGTGAGACTGAAAACTCAGATCTCGTTAAAATCCACGTTAGGCATTTTATGGCATATTGTTTTGGAGGATCCTCTGTCTTGACCCTCCATATCTGATGGCAGTTCAGGGGTCCCCTTGTATTTCTTCTTCCTTGCCTTTATTGACCCTTTGGTTCTTGGTATGTCTCAGGTCAGTGCTTGCCTCACAGTAGTGTATTAGTCCTTGGCTTATTGAGTGTGCAATTTACCCATATTTAAAATAAAACCCTTCCATTCCTGTGCCATCTCATGTTTTGGCTAGATAAATACGTGCAGTAATCACAACACACAAAAACATGCACACTTTCAATACCACGGGGAGTATAATAAAACAAGATTCAGGCATATTTTTCTCAGAAGTTGCCATATTTTATGTTAAGTTACATACATTTACATTTCAGCCTCCTTTGTGCTAACGGTAAAAGAAACAAAACACCAACAGTTAACAACGTGAGACTTGCATCCAAACACTACAAAAGCTGTGTCTCTGCATACATTCCTTTCTGGAAAAGACTAACAAGAACAGGCACACACATAAATGCATCCACAGCTACACTACAGCACTCGGTGCATTGAGTCCGTTTCAGTCCATTGATAAACCACCTAACTTAGGCTCGGATTTTTGTCTTGGTCACAATGTATGAAATGACATTTAGAGCTACAAAAACAAGTTTCAGCAAATTAACTAGAAGGTTTAAAATCAATGTGACAATTAAAATATAAAATACATTATCGAAGAATAAAACATTGGCATTATAAAATGTTCTTTAATAGTCAACATTTTTTTTACAATATGATCAAACTTGGTTCTTTCTGCTATTGATATGATGGTCTATTGATTCTGAACTATAAGAGGAAGAGCTACAAAGAGAAGCAGAGTGAGCATAGGTAGAAGAGAAGAAGAAAGGAAAGTGTAAAAGCAACATTTTGGACATTCGGCAATGGAGTGTTGGTTTGTTGTTGTCATGAAGCTAAATTTGCACGTTAACAAGGGATTCTCTGTAGCAGTCTTTGGGATAGTTTAAAGCTATAGGGTTAACTTTAACATGACCTGCCTACTAAATAAACCCCAAAACTTGAAACATAAGAGATCTCATGAATGACTGAAGTATGACATCACTTGAAATATGATCTTGTCCTTTTCATATTTTTTTATTTTTTTTAACCACCCCAACTTACCCAAACCACTATTTTCCTAGTTAATGTCCAATGATTCCGCGCTGATGATACATCATATCCTGCCAATCCCCACTTAATAGCATTTAAGGTTGCACCAGTTTAGCTATGGGTAAGAGACTTAACAACAACCTCAGCTTTTCTATTCCTCTGACATGACATGCCATTTGGCAATCTGGCGACGTGGGTGGTCACAGATCTCTCTCCAGTGCTCACCGGCTGTTCCTGCTGCTGATGTTCCCAATAACAGACGCCCAAGAACAGCATTGGGGTTGCGTGAAGATCCATTGTCTGAGTCCATCAGAAGCAGCTCTACACTGGTGTCCCTCAGACCCTCTTCAGAGGGCAGATCAAACACAAAAAGCTCATTAAAGACTGGGTTTGGAGAACATTTTTTCACATGGGTCTTCTTCTTGCATATGCGCTTCTTTCCATGATACATGTTCACTTTGACATATGGATCTAGAGAAAAGGATGGAAATAGCAGTTAGAAACATTGCAAAGATGCAAGGAAAACAATGAAAATATCCATCCTTCTAGCAGTTGACTAGTGGCCTGTTATTCCCAGGCCAGATCAATAAAACAATCAATAAAGCAGAAGAGATGGATGTTAGTGATGATAACATAAAATCTTCACTGTACAACTGGGGTGTGCATATCTCTGTGTGCTTGTCACTAAAGTGCTTCAGGTCACATCCTGTTCAGATTCCTTCAGTGCAGTAATGGTGACATTAAAATAGCTTTTACAGCCTCATATTGGCAGAAAAAGTTTCTTATTAAGCATGTTGCAAGATCACAGGATTGTGTGTCGAACAGTGTTAGTGCCTGCAGATGTTCTATTACTAAAAAGTTGTACATACCACTTGGACCATTGTTTTCAGTCTTAGGAAGATGCCGGGCTTTGAGGACTACCACCGTTAAAGTGTTGGTGGTAGACTGGTAGCACAAAGAGAGCAGCAGTTCTCCTCGACCTAAGGACTTCTGTGTAGGGAATGGGAATGATGGCAAAATTAAAGATAATTGAAAGAAAAGAAAAGAAAAAAAAAGAAAGTGCAGGTAAAAAAAAAAATAGAAAGAGGAGACAAAGAACAGGAAGGTTCCGGTTAATACCTTTGGAACAAGACTTTTACCAAAACTGATTAGGTCAACTTACATGTTTAATTTACAATACAAAGCAAACTCAAGTTGTCTTGACATTGTTTTTTTTGCTTTAGACATTAGCATAGATCTCTAGACAGGCATAATGAAAGTTGCCCTTTTCCCTGCAAAAACAGCCCTGACCTTTCAAGGTGTATGTTATATCTGGCATCAATTTCCTAAGTAGTGCGATGGTCTGCATTGATATGAAGAAAAAACTACAATGTGCTATGTATTTTGCAATCTTTTTGTAACACCAAGCTACTTGTCAGCTACCCTCTGACAGATCCTGTAATACATGAAAATAATATTTCAGTGGTCAAAAGCATCTAGATCTTTATAGCATACCTAAAGTAAATTTGTGCTTTCTATGCCTGAATTATTTTTGCAAAGGCATACACTAGCAGCTGACATTCAAGCAACTCCACTATTTCAGCTTGTTTCCTGAAGTAATTCTGAAATTAGTTGTTATTAGCCAGCCAGGCTTAATTACACAGAGTGTACATTGCTGTAATAAAGTCTGGCAAATTGCTGTTGACTCCAGCCAGATCTGGCAGGCCCAATCAAAGCTCAGGAGGCAGAATTTGTGATGCATGACTCCAGTGCCAGAAGTATGCATAATGCAGCAGCGCTTCTATGCCGGTGACCACAACGCAGAAATCTTGGAGTTTTGTGTCACATCCATAGTTACCTTATGGTTCTGACCCTAAAAAGTTGATGCTGATAGTCCTGCCTTTGAAATCTAGGTGTATCAGCTCTTTACCAGAATGACATGCTGTGTATACATATCTGTTTGTCTGCCAGGCTGGTTATTAATGGACACCATAGTTTGCTGTTTTTTACCACTGTTTAAAGTAATAAACATACAACTATGTTTTGATCTTCCTTGATTGCTTCACCTTCATGTAATATGCCTTATTACACAACAGAACTCCCAAATATAGCCTTGGTGGTGCAAGATATATTGTTTGGTATTTTGACCTTAGCATAATCCCTGCACAATCTCTCTGGTAGTAAGTCTTAGGTCTGTTAGGCTAAAAAATGTATAACTTGGACCATAGAAACTATACAATTTTTTTTTTTTTTGCAAATGAACAAACGTTGCTGATGGACTGTGTTGATCTGCAGGTTGCAAATGATGATTATATAATGCAAATGCATATATGTGCATATTTACAAACCAAAACTTAACCCAGTGCTTTTCCTTAGTTTTCACTCTAGACAGCTGAGTATAGAGATTCTCAACATTATCTTCCAATGTGTTAAATTATCAGATCCTTAGTGATATAAAATGTCTGACTAACAAATCACTAACACTTTATTTGTAGAGGATTTCTTTTTGTTCTGCTCCACATATGCATGTACTTGTATCCACACCCACAAGGCGCCTGGGATTTTGCCATCACACATAACAGGATTCCCAACCCCTGCAGATAGTTGCCATGGAAATGGAACTCCTATCCCTGACCTGAAATTCATCACCAAAAAATACAAATCTGTTTGCTGTATTCTGGGTACCTAAAAGAATTGTAAAAAATGTTTATCGTGTTTGGTGTATCTTCAACCTCTAATGGTAATTCTGCTTACTGGATGTTTTTTTTTCTCTTATTGCACTTATGTGATCGGCTCTATTAAACAACACGATTCCCCAAAATAAAGCAGAAAGGTAAAATACCACAACAAAAAATTGTTACCTGCTAACCAGGGACAGGATTCTATCTAATATAACATTTGATTAAAACATCTGCTTATGGCAATTCTGCATCGATCAACTGTTGTGCTGTGTGCCAACACCCACTCAGATGAGGCAATGGGACACAGTTTAAGCCTCACAGACAAAGGGAGCCACCACCCTGCTAGCAAAGAAATGCCTCTTATCAAATATCATCATGTAAGAACGCCTGCTGTAAACTGGAACTATTTCTTTGAAATATAATTAATAAGATAGAAATGATTTAGTTGCATGGTAAATCTTTTCTGCAGCAAATCTGTACCATGGCAAACAATGCTCCTTATTACAGAACATTTTCCTTCAAAATGACTTGCAACAATAAATTCATAAATAGAATCCTGTATTTGTCATAAATGCTATGCAGACATGTCCATGTATATTTTTTGTTAATGACAAAACAGCAGCAGCAAGAAGTTTAAATGTTCATGATATGGTTTAATTCATCTTTAGGAATATTCTGCTGATTGTAAGAAAATTTAAATAGGAATGCTTACAGAGGAATGAGAAACCTCCATACACCCTACCTGATGAAAAAAAAAACAGTCACAAAAAGCCTTTTTTAATTTGTCCAAACCTAATATAGCCCACCTTATACTAAGCAAACCATGCAGCGTCATTCTAAGCTTTCAAATTCATACATAGGATACTTTAATAGATCTATTAAGTCTCTACAGAGAGATAAGCTTCCCATCTGTCTTCTCCTGTGACTTAATTTCACATTAATTCTTTACCAAACTCGTTACCAAAGTAAGACACAGACAGACAGCAATGATCCTTACATTTAGATATAGTTAAATAACACTTGTACTGTGTGGTTTTAATTTAGGATCAATATGTTATTATTTGTATACATTTATGTCAACTTTCATTTGTAAAAGAATTGAGAAAACATTTAGGGGGATATTATGGAATGAAAACATTTTACCGTCTGAAAAGCTGTATTAAATTAAATTTTGTTTTTTGTACAAACTCTGTACAAAATTATAATAAAAGTTGTGTAAGCCTAAGTCTAATTTGCCTTAAATATTTTTTTGCCCCAAAAATATCTGTATTTATATAAATCGTAATTTAGAGTTGAATTTAGCAATAATTACATAGCAAATTGCCATTTGGCAAATTACTTAGCAATAAAAAAGGGGAAGCAGCAAAATTCACAATGAGTTCAGAAGATTGGAATATTTACCTGAAGAGGACAATTTGCCATAATGTTGTTTTCTTGCTAACAAATTCACATAATTAGCATTCATTAGATTTGTTCTTCTGAAAGGTAATACTCTCTGCTGTGTTTTTATCTTTTAAAAGCATTGGCATAAGAGCCAACTGGTTTGATTGTGGTGGTGGTGGTTGGAGGAATTCAGGGTGGGGCTGCAGTCAGAGTGGAGGTAGAGAATTTTTTGCTCTACGAATAGTACTCAACACCCACAGCTAGTGGTTTCACTTACTGTATTACAACCCCTTTAAGTATTTGGAGATAACTTCCAAAATAATTTTGTGGCTTAATGTTATGCTATTAAAAGCATTGTTTTAGTTATGTACCTCTATTTTTGTAATGTGTGTGTTTTTTTTTTTATACGATATATTCATTTATGTTACATCAACTGATTTAGGCCAAGCATAGTGCAACAGTGGAGGGAATATCAGTCTTCTGCCGAAAAACCCTAAACCTAATCTAACAACACTGCACACATAAACTGACATTTAAGGGCAAAGTAAAATCTGTCTTTTGGGAAAGATCCAAGCTATTCTTTAAGATGATTAACTCTGCAGAAACTGCTGTAGTTTGTTTAATCGCTCAGAAAAATCTTGTATGTACAAACCAAAATATTTAAATGGCCCCCTAAATATGAATGGATGGGAATTTATTTTTGCCACATTGTTGCCTTGGGACAAACTGATAACAGGATTCAGGGTGTACTCTTGTTTTGTGATCTGAAAACACAAGGCCCCCTGAGATCCCATAGGGATTAAGCTGGTTAACAAATTCTTAAATAAATTAAATATTTGCACATCATCTTACCTTTACATTTTTCTTGATAATCTCTCGGCTCATCAGGACACGCCCCTCAGACAAGTCGATTCCCGACAAAGGCACAAGAGTCTCTCCAATGATCTCATCACGAGAGAAGCGATCAAAGCTCAGTACCATGAAGTGGAGGGCCAGCTCAGACACCCGGGCTAGTGGGATCCCATAGAAACTGAAGGTCTCATCGAAGGCAGGGTCTAAAGTCTTCCGAAGGACTCTTGTCTTCACTCTGTGCTTTTTCTCAGGCAGCAGGGTCAGCTTGATGTAAGGGTCAGAGGTAAGTGACTGCTCATCTGTTGGACTCAGACCATGGGCCTCCTGGATTAAAATAAATGAAAATAAAATTACTTAAGATATAAATTTGGAAACACTCAAGATGTTCACCTTAAAAAGTTATAAATGTATGGTACCTTAATGTGAACAATAAATGCCTTCTTCTCTGCCTGGTACTCAAGAGAGAAGTGAAGTGTCCCTAAACCACACTCCTTTTCTTCTCCCTGAGGCCTGTCAGCAGCAGGGGTGGGTGCCTGGCTTGAGAGAGCACTGGATGGTGAAGGGAGGTCACAGCGTTCCATTGCACCAGGTTGGGTGAATCCTGTCTGCGGAGAGAGAAGCTCCAGATCTGGGGAGCTCCGCACTGTCTGATGGTGGTGATGAAATGGTTTGGTGGTAAAGTTTCCATTTAGATCACGCTTCTCCAAATCAAGATGTAGAGCTGATCTAGAATCATTTGGACTTGTGGCAGCTTTAAGAGTGCTAGAAGGACTCATTGGCGTGGTTTGGCAGTTTCCGTTGACATCTGTTTTACCAGCATCATTAGTTGTTGGGTTGTTGGGTGCTGCAAACTTCTTTTTGCCACTCAGGCTCTCTGGGTAGATGTCAACCCCTTTAAGCATGTGCACAAACTTATAAGGAGGTGTCTTCTGGGACTTGTTGGTATTTTTGCGCTGGCAACAGATCCAGGCAAAGGCTGATGTAGTAAAGACAAGGCCGAAAACACTCATCACTGCAACACCTAAAGGCACTGCCACTGTTAAGATGGATAGAGAGAAAGAGGAAGAAAACAGGGATGGAGGAAATTGAAAAAAGTAGAGTAAAATGTGTTATTTCAATAAAGAGGAACTCTGAAATAAAGCAATATCTGAAACGTGAGACAGCATGATTCCAGGGTTTTATTGAACCAACTGAATTAATGTTAGTAGTTCGGACACTCCCTGCAGTCTTGAATCAGAGAACAACAAGAACAACACAATCTGTCCAACCTTTTGTTGTTTTTGTATACCAAATTTGGTAATGGACTATGAACATGTACCGCTGGAAACAGATAGATTTATCTGTAACTCTACATATTGTAACCATCCAAAAGACAATAAAAAAAAAAACTGGAAAATATTGCTAATTGAATATATATGGTGTTCAAAGTATTAAGAAAGTAAAAATAGGGCACTGTACAGTTCACCAAGTGGCCATTTTGTGTATTTCTTGTTTTTTGAAGCCATGTTAACTCCAGATAGCAAACAGAGCAGTCTGTTTGTATATACCAACCTTTCATTGATAATACAACATACAAACATATAGTTTTATCTACTTCAGGAAACTAGATATTAAATCATCTTTTTATGTATTATTTGGTAAAATAATTCTGGTTTTATGACTAAACAAAATAACACAGACAAACAGAAGGTCCTTCACACCTGATTTCAATTTATCAGGAGTCCTACTTGTAACAAAATGCTAAATATTCTCTGGATATTAGGCATCAAAACTGAAACAAATAGAAAATATGTCTGAAGTTTTTCAATCTATAATAATAATTTACATTAAAAACATTTAAGGTTTGATTTATATGATCATTATCTCTGATATTCATAAATAAAGTTAACTCAATATCATATGGTTTCAAAATATAAGTTAGAAAGGGTAAATTAACAAATAGAGATAACATTTGTAGGAGTAGAGATCCACCAGATAAATATTTTTAAAATGAAACAAACACAAAGACCATGAACAGGATGTACAGTACAAGAAATATTAGTCGTTGGATGTCCTCTTTGTTTTGTGGCACTGAGCCCTGTCTCGTCTGCAATCTCACAGCTATTTCATGCAGCCAGATTTAAGGTGTAGATTTCAAAAGAGGAAATGCAGTCCATTTCCCACAATTAAGAGGGAGAGTCAGTGGAAAAGCACTCAGATTAACCCATCTATAGAGAGAGACAGGCTTGAGGTGTGGGGGTGGTGACCAATCACTCATGCACTTGCCTTTTTCATCTGGTTTAAGCTAATGTGTTAGATCATTTATTCATGGATTTTTCACACATGATAGCTGCCACAGCGTGATTGATGTGATGATGATGTGTTACTGAAACCCCATTGAACTAATGATAATAATTAACCTTTGATTCTACCTTATCTATCTATCTATCTATC